TTTCGCTCGGAAACTAATGTGTGGGTGCACCTCCTGCCGCAAACTGCTCTCGAATCCTAATTCGATGACTCAGTGACTCTTAAATGCTGCCGATTAAGCCTTCGCCCCCTGTCCCACTTTTTAAACTTATGACCTATACTGGTCTGGTAAAAAAAAAAAAATAGGGTTAGGGAAACATTTTAAGAATTAAATAGGATTAAGAACACCTGGAGTGTGGGCGATGTTGAGCTATTGTTTTGTTTTAGACCTTGGCGAATATTGAACTCGTCCTCATTAAGAACAGAACAATTAGGAATTTTGAATGCTAGTGTCTGGCTTTCGTCTGTGATAAAGCACCGTTTACATTGCCGAACGCGTTGGTGACTTTGTCAGTTTCATCTAGAGCATTCCGCGACTTTAAGTTTTTTGCTTATTTGGGCTGTCCTTATGTTTTCCAAACGAAGCACTGTGCCTTTTAAATATAGCAGCCGCTTGGAGGAAGAATGGTGCTGTAAGATTTTCCTGTTGAGAAGGGAGTTAATTTGAGGCAGAATATTGGCGTCCGTTTTCTTGTGATTGAGTTCAAGTTTTGTTTGTTTCTGGAGGGTTATGAAGAGTTAAATGAGGATGCATTCCTTTAAATAAAGTACATTCCTCAAGTCAGACCTCTTCGAGAAGGCTTTAAGGGCCAGTGCCGAAGCCCGCTTAGCATAAAATAGCTAGAAAAATACCAGGCAGCGTCCCCCCCTCTTTGAAAAGCACACACTGAGGGAGAGGGCGTGGAAGGAGGTGGATTGCTGCAGTCAGTGCAGTCTAGAAGCAGAAGTGGCCGCCATGTTCTCTCTTTTTTGTGAATCGCCCTCATTTGCATAGCACACTTCATTCATAAAAAAAATAATTAAACATCCATCACCTTGGACAACTTGAAAGGGTTTCCTAAGAAAAACATTCGAAGCTTGTTTGTCTTTATGTAGATTTTTGAGTTCGGGAAGTGAGGAGAATTAGAAGTTTTAGATTAAATTTTAGAACATACGCACACACAAACAACTACCCCAGTTCTCAGAATGTTGACACAGTTATGTGGGAAATATCAGTTCGGGGAGGTGCTGGGATCACGTGATCGCCTCCATTCATAAAATACCTGGCTGTCCATTCACAGTGCAGTACACTGTCACTGCCTTCCGCAGACTAGACCTATTTTGAGCTAGATCTAGAAGCCTGTCTCAGATGGTGCTGGGTTAGGAGAAAAACTGCGGAAATGCTGAAGGGATTGTCGGGGACTTTAATTAGTATCTTGGAGGAAAGCAGCTGGGATAAAATCTTACCTATTTTAGAGATGGGGAAAGATTTCTTACCAGTTTAATAGTTTAGAAAGTATTATTTCCTTGATGCGGCTGAGGAACAAATGATGGGGTGTGTACTAATGCAGACATATGATAGATTGTTTCAAAACGGGCCTTTTTTTTTGGTATTATGGCAAATTGAAAGTGCAAGTAAGTGTGAGAGAGATCTCAGTGGATGGAACCTTTGTTGCACTAAATGAAACAAAAATATTTCCGATGTTTTTAACCCTCAAGGTATTGATGCTTTGAAACAGAACACTTTGGAAATAATTCATCCAGATTTTTAAAATTGTTTTCACAAATATATCCTGCCTTATTAATACATTGTTCCCCAGGAAAGGAGTCGTCTATGTTAGGATGTATTATCCTCTGAAAGGTTCTTCCTAGGGCATTTTTTTTTTTTTAATTAACGTTAGAAAATGGTTGTGTTCACCTGGTAGTCATTGCTGCTAGAGCTTACATTGTTTACTTGTGCCTTAGCTCAACCACAAAGTGGATTTCTTAGAATGTCAATTTTAATCTGGTCATTTGTAGATCTCATCTTTATCGTAGGAGGTGAAGTTTTGAAAATGGAAATTCAAAAATTACTTAAAATCATACGTTATGAAGGAGTGAAAGATACAGTAGGGCACTCATGGTTCTAGGTATAGTTTAAAATGGCCTTGTATTATTTTTTCCCTTTTTCAAAGGGATTTAATTACAGTAGAAATTGTTCTTAGCATTTTATTGCTTCATTTTTCTTTGTTTTTAGCCTTTTAAAGAAGGCGAAAAATTACTAATTTCTTGAAGACTGTTAACTTTTAAAAATTAATGGATAGCTGTTGTACTGAAATATAATAAGGCCTTTTAGAATACTCATTCTGAAAACCATTTGAATTTAGATTTTTTTTTAGTAGAGAAATAGCTAACTGAGGTGATTGTATATCTAATCAAGAATTAGTAGATGTATTATCTAAAAGGCTTTGTTTTAACAGTGACAAATGAGGAAATGAATGAGAATAGGATGAAGCACCCACACTTTCAAATTCATGTTTAAAAAATAAAATATTTCAGCAGGTAAGATGGCTCAACTGTTAAAGGCACTTTGTACCATCTAGCCTGATGAACTGAGTTCCATTTCTGGGACTTATACTGTAGAACCTGCTCCCACAAGTTGTCCTCAACACAGTCACAAGTAAGTGTAATAAAACAATTTTTTAATCTGAGTTTTCAAAAGACAGTACATGTACTCTAGAGTAAACTGCTTTATGCTATAAGTATCGGAACTACCATACATGACTTTATTTTCGAAGATACTATATTTTGCAGAAATTAGTACTTCAGATGTGTCAGTTTTTCATTTTGCAGAAACAGATACTCCAGTAAATAAAGTTGTACCATAATGAATTAACCTTTTAAATTGAATTTTGGACACTTAAGAATATATTATATAATACCTAAGGGCCTTTGTAATTTGGTGTTGAGTGAATATCATGCTACATGCTCTTTGCCAATTTGGCCAAAGCACTTGGAGAAGTGAAATAGCTGAAAAACCAAGAATTCCGTTTATTGTGCTTAAATAAAGCCAGAACCATCTGCCATGTCAGTATACTAGGCTTTTTAATATCAAGTTGGGATTATAGTAACTTTAGAGGAGATTCATTAGAGTTTTGACAGAATTTCTCCTGTCAAAAGCAAATTTTGTGATTATACCATTTAGTGCATCATTAAAAATGTACCTCACAGTGGGAGTATATAAGTTTTCTTTCATTTGTCTTATATATTCGTATGTCTATGCATACATTATATACATAATAGTTAGAAAGTTATTCTAGAACTGAATGGAAAGAAGCATTGGGAATCTGTGACAGTTATTCAAGTAATGTATTTTATATAGATATTATGAATCTGTAATGTAAAATTTGCTTAGAATTCAGTCCAGCTCAGTGCTTGCTCACCTGCTTCAGCTTTCCTCCTTTTTGATATCAAGCTTTCTGGTCTTAGACTGTATGTTTTTAAACTATATGCTAGCATGCTTAAAATATTTTTTCAAGGAAAAAAAGCTTGTGGAAATAATTTTTCTCCAGAAGACTCAATTGTGCTATATGCTCTTCAACATTCTGTCCTTCTGTGTTGTTCTGTATTGATCCATACTTATAGTCAGATTTTAAAAATCATAATGTAAATTTACTCATTGCTCTGCCTGTTATTGCCCCTTCATATACACTTTTTTGGTGTGTGAATTATACATTTAGTTGTTTTGTTAGGCTGAAAGATTATAGGAAAATTATTTATGCTACCTTTTTTTTTTTTTTTCTTGTTTTTTTCGAGACAGGGTTTCTTTGTATAGCTTTGAAGCCTATCCTGGCACTCACTCTGAAGACCAGGCTGACCTCGAACTACAGACATCCCACTGCTTCTTCCTTCCGAGTGCTGGGATTAAAGGCATGCACCACTAATGCCTGGTTTATATTATATTTTAAAGAAGATTTGCTCTTTATTTCCTAAGGCCAAAATTGGTTTCATTTTTGACATGTTAGATTTCCTCAAGTTCTAGAAACAATAGTTGAGGCCTAAAACTATCATAGATACTTTTGGAGTAGTCATTGTGTTGGCCTCTGAGCTATGCAGTATTAACAAAAGGCTAGTCATTTGTCTATCTGTTTATCAGTTTTGAAGATTTGAAAGTTTCTTCCTCTTACAGCTTCTTCATAGTGCTACCTATGGGAAACTGGCTAGGAATAAAAAAGTTCATTGATGGGGAAGGGGTAAAAATTATAGGCTCCCTATTTGTATGCTTCTGGTGATGGAGAAGTTTTGAAGGGGAAAGACTGACAAACTTGCTCTGATGACGGTAACTTGAACTTGACTAATAGATCTCACTAAGTGTTGGAAGGGTCATACAGAGAGGTCTACATTTCTTCTCCAACCTTCCAGAAGAGTTGCATTTAAGTTAAAATTTGAGAAATAGTTTACCCACCCATGCAAGATCAAAAGCTAGTTCAAAGATGAATAATTTGTTTGCATAGCTACCATGAGATAACAAGGATTATAATATTATGTAATTGTGTGCAGACTCCTTTACCTGTGACTTTGATGATGTTGTTTATATGTTGGATTTTTCACTTTGTGCTGAGCACTGTGAAAAATGCTTTAAGAGTTTCATAAGTATCGGGATGGTGGTGGCACACACCTTTAATCCCAGCACTGGGGAGGTAGAGGCAGGTGGATCTTTGTGAGTTTGAGACCAGCCTGGTCTATAAGATGGAGTTCCAGGACAGCCTCCAAAGCTACACAGAGAAAAGCCCTGTCTGGAAAAACTAAAAAAAAAAAAAAAAAAAAAAACCCAAAAAACAATTTTGTAACTAATGTTTATGGACACTCACAGGAACACACACCCTCTCTCTGACTGTAGTAGTTTTACAGTGTATACTATGGTGGATTGATATATGTAAATATTTTGCTGTGTTTTAATTATCTTTCTAGAATGTGACTTTTAGTGGCTACTATATGTTCAATGTATGATATACTTTGTTTACCAGTCTAATGTTGTTTTCTTTTTTTGAACAGTATTAAGTTTGACATTGAATTTTTTCTTCATCAGTATCTGTTGTTTGTTCCTGGAGATAATCTAGGAATACCACATCTTAAGTTTTTATCAAGTTACCATATATAAAAGGAAAATTTAGTTCTAGTGTATGAGAGTACTTAGGCTTTGAAATGTTTGTCTTTGAGAATTCATGTCAGTTTTAAATTCAGAGAATGAAATTTTATTCAGACTTTTTGTTGTTGCTTTTGTTTTGTTTTGTTTTGTTTTGTTTTTTGAGACAGGGTTTCTCTGTGTAGCTTTGGAGCCTATCCTGGCACTCGCTCTGGAGACCAGGCTGGCTCGAACTCCCAGAGATCTGCCTGCCTCTGCCTCCCGAGTGCTGGGATTAAAGGCGTGCGCCACCAACACCCGGCCAGACTGTCTTAATGTTCTGGGTGGTAAAGTAGAAACAATTTGTTTGGAACAAAACAAAAAATGTTTTATAATATCTAGAATTTTTTAAAATACTGCATTATAATAGAATTAAAGTGAATATTCAGAAGTCATTTGCATATCTATTTAACTTTTAACTAATGCACTGTGGTCTAATACAATGAACATTAAACTTAATTGGGAGACATTTTTCTTGAAACTAGTTCTGTGATCAGGGGTGAGTGATAGATAACCTCTCTGGGTTACACTTGACTTGTTTGTGATCAAAGGAGTTTGAACTAAGCATTATGGGCCCTCTTTATGCTAATAGTTTATGATTTGTTCTGGTGTTATCAATGGTAGACACACTAGGTCACTTGATTTTGCTAATTTTATTATTTTTGATATATTTAAGTAAATGCCCGATAGCATGGTAAATTAAAAATGTGAATTTTGAATAAAAAGATATATAAAATTTGTGAGCATCTGATCTGTACCTCAGAAACTTTTAAGTTGGGCTTACTATTTTGTTGTCATTGGGAGATGAGCTCCACTATATATTTCAGCCTCTTAGATTGGAATTAAATCTCCAACCCCAGCTAGTTGGGGATTATAAGGTTAACCACCCTACCCCATTAGCATGGATTAGTTGGAAAGATGAACAAAAAGTTACTGGGCTTAAATGCCAACTTGAAGAGTTTCATGAGGAACGAACAAACATTCTGCCAGTCAGTAAGCTTTACTTAATGACCAAGAACATCAGAAAGTCATTTCCACTTGGTCACTTATCAAAACATGTTAATCTAATACATTTATTTAGTTTTAGAAGTTAACCCAGGTAAAGTGTTATTCTCCAGAATTTGGATAGTTTATGACCAGATTGGTGTAACTATACCATAAGTGTCTAGAACTAAAGTCTTTAGATCTATGAAATTTGTGTCTGTGATAATTTGAATGAAAAACATTTTTTAATTATTTTTTTTAATGAGAGAGAGAGAGGGAGAGAGAGAGAGAGAGAGAGAAACCATGTCTCATTATGTAGCCCTGGCTGGTCTCCAATTCACAGAGATTCACCTGCATCTGCCTCTATTTGACAAGCAAAATAATACTAATTTCGCGAACATTTTCATCCATGTTCTGGACAAATTCCTGAAGAAAGAGTGGGCAAATACAGAACTGGTATTGGAAAGGACACTAAAATAAAGGTCTCGTTCTGTATCATTGGCCATCATTAAAAAAAAAAAAACAACACCCAAACCCCACCTGTATGTAGAAAGTATTTTCCTAGGGCCTGTTAAAACAGTCTTAATACCTCTGAGCACATTGTGGAGGTATTGGTAGGTTTCATGCTGTTCCCTCATTATGGTGGGAAGGGCCATCTTTTTAACAATTTGTGTCACTGTGTGGTAGGGGTCAAAAGTTTACTTTCATGGGAGAAGTGAGCCTTTTCAGTTTCACTTATTTCAAGAGGTATGTTTTGTAAACTGTGATCCAGCTAAGATCTCTTACTGGTGAGAATGATTTGCTAGCCAGAAGGTCACCCTTCTTGGTTTAATCTGTTAGAAATTTCGTTGGGCCAACCAAGAGTCTGTCAGCTTATATGTAGGCTGCTAATTTTGGTCATGAAAATTGTGTTGAAAAATTAATATATTATCATCGGTCATGATATTTAACCTGCTATCCTGAGATAATTTGCTAATTCAGAATAACTCCCTTGGATACTTGGTTTAGGAATTAATTAGAGGTTTATTGATGAATTAAGGTCTTGAATGAGCATAATCCAGAACTTAAAATCAGGCTTGTTTGATGAAAAAAACAAACAAAAAGAGGTGGAAGTTGAGAACATATGACAAGTACTCTCAATAAATGCATCAAACCAGAATATTGTTCAACTTTGTGTTTTGAAAAGAGAGGGGATGAGTGAAACAGACTAACCTTTAGCCACCCTCTGAACTGATACTTCACAAGGAAGGAAACAGCTTTAGTGACCAAAAAAGTTTACTGATGAGACACACAGACTCTGTATTGCTTTGATTCTGAACAACCTATATATTTTGCTATTCATTCTCCAGTAACTATCAAAGGAAAAGGATAGATAGTTTGGTTTACAATTACTGATTAACTCAAGATCATCCCAATCCTGCATTTACTCTGCCTTAAAAACATTTAGCTAATTGGGAAATACAAGGAAACAATATGAGCAAGATGGGGTCCTTAGAGTGTGGCTCTCTAAG